CTCAAATTGCAGCATTTTTCAGTGTGGCAGGTGGATTTACACACTCTTGTTGTTGTTGTTGTTGTTGTGTGCCCTCAAGTCCTTTCCAACTTATGGCAACCCTTAGGCAAACCTACCATGGGTTATTCTTGGCAAGATCTGTTCAGAAAATATCCAACATGTAAGTCACTAATACCACTTAACCCTTTTGAACCACTGAAAAGCTGTTAACATCGACCACAGTGCTAACAAGGGGTGCATCCTAGGATCTGTCCTTTTACAAGGTCTCTGCCAAAGAGTGCTGGAAGTTTGTGTGCATTGAAGTATCCAAAAGCAAAGGTGGCACTATCTCATGTGGACAATTTTGCAGTATTTCAGCATTTTGGAATTCCAGGTAAAGGAGACTCAACCTGTTGTATAACCACAGGCGACTGCAGACCTACTCAAGACAAGCCTCTGTTTGGTTTGGTTTGGGGTTTTTTGCTTTAGTATCCCCTGCTTCTTCATACTTCATTCTTTATAAATTTTAATGTTGTAAGCCACCCCAATTGCTCTGCAGAGGGGTGGGATATAAATTATTATTATTATTATTATTATTATTATTATTATTATTATTATTATTATTATTATTATTATTATTCTGCAACTCTCAGAATCCCAGAGACAGTAAGAAGTCTGTCCATCACATGAAGCAAGAAGTCCCTGCAAGAGCAGAGCCCGATTCGATCCAAGTCCTCTCAGCTCTTGCAGACTCTCTGCCTTTGGAACATCTCCCATTTCCAGCTGCTGGAGAAGGAAACCCCAGACCACTGAATGCATAAGGCTGTTTTTTCCCGGAGCCAAAAGTGTCCGGCTGACAAAGAGGCCCTGTCCCAGGCTGGAGCGGCTGCTGAGCATGGCTCAACTTGACAATGACATCACTGGGGAAGGTCAATCTCTCCGTTCAGCTCCGCATGAATGGGGAATCTGTCTCCTTGCTCCAACATCAGCTGTCTTGTGTCCCAAGCTCTCAAGAACCCACAGAAGGGCAACCTCCTCCTAACCACTGAACAGCTGGTTAAGAAAAGACTAGGAAACCAGGGACTGGGTGGGATTTTTGGATCGGGGATCCCTGTAGCCCATAGTACCCTTCCAACTTCTCCGATCCCTCCCACTTGAAAGCAAGTCCCCCAAATGAAAAGTGCTGCAACTTGCCTTACAAATTGCACAGGGATCTCCCGCACTTTGGTTTTGCCCCCACCCCAAGAGTTAGGAAACCAGAAGAAGACTTATGATCCCCACTAATTTTGCTTTTTCCTTTCCTTGTTATTTTGCATTTGGTAGCCTGCGGTCACCGGATCGGTAATAACAAAGCTGGGAGAAGTGGGACAGGACACATTTTTTCGAACAGAGTTGCTGTTGTTGTTAACCACCCTCGAGTCGATCTCGACTCATGGCGACCCTGTGGAGGAGAGACCACATTTAAATTCTTACAAATAACTAAAGGAGCTTGTATAATTTCAGCGTGCATTGCTTCTCAGTAGCTGCTGAATTTATATGTAAATAAATACTAGGACATAGCTTACATACCCTAAAGGCACCAGATCCCGCCTGCCTTTGGAAACTAAGCAGGGTCACTTCTGGTTAGTACTTGGATGAGAGACTACTAATGATTCCCAGGTGCTGTAGGCTGTATTTCAGAGGAAGGAACTAGCCCAACCATCTCTGAGGAGTCCTTGCCTAAGAAAACCCTAGGAAATGCATGGCAAGTCGACAGGTGACTTGAAAGCACATACACATAAATAAATTTGTGTTTAAAAATGTATAAATTTGTAAATCGTTCCCCTGTCTTTCTGCAATCTTTCCCCTATCTTTTCTGTCTGAGGACCTTATCACACGGGGGAAATCCCGTGCAGAAACAGGATTTAAAAGGTGGAGAAAACCTGCAAAAGCGGGTAGATTTTCACACACGTCGCTTTTAAAGTGTGCTTAACCTGAACGGAAAATAGTCAAAAGCCGCTTCTTTTTACTTTTGGAATTTTCTGAAAGTAAAAAGAAGCAACTTTTGACTACTTTCCGTTCGGGTTAAGCACACTGTAAAAACGACGTTGTCTGAAAATCTACCTGCTTTTGCGGGTTTTTTTCCTATTTAAAACCCCATTTCTGCACGGGATTTCCCCATGCGATAAAATCCTGAGACAAGTCTCAGCTTTGTTCCCTTAACTGTTTGGCACCAACCAGGCCTGCCCAGCTCCATCTTTCACAGCAACCCTGCGAGGTAGGCTAGGATAAAGTGACGGTGGTGAGGAAGGCACCATACCCAGCAAGATTTCTGCTAGAAGTTTCACTGCAAAGCCAGAAATGGATGGAAAAGGTGTTTTTTGTCCTCAGAATCCATCAAAATGAGAGGTCCGGTGAGGGATGGGGGTTTCTCCCTGGTCTGCTCAGCTTCCGCAGATCGATTTGCAAGGCTGCGCTGCCTAATGTGCTTGATGGGTGTTTTGTAGGATGCCAGAGAAGAGAGCAGATGGGCTTTACTGGGCTGTGAAACACAGCAATTAGCCTGGCTGCCAGCAAGCAGAGAGCTAGCCACACACAGGGAGGGAGCTGGGTCTCCCTTGGCCTTTCCTTCCCTCGCCCCTTAATTACTTTCTTTTCCCACAAACAGATCCAAGCTGGAAAGGGATTTCCCTCTGCTGTTAGGAACTTTTAAAAATCAATATAATGTACACATCTACTGCATCAGGCACAAAGAGTACGGCTGTACATACTGCAAGGGGATCTGGTAGCGCACCTTTGAGACTAGATGAAAGAAAGATGCTGATAGCATGAGCTTTTGTAGACTTGAGCCTACCTGATGCACGTTTTACATAATGTGTTTGTTATGTTTGGAATTGTATTGTTCTTTTAAATTGTGAGCCGCTTTGAGTCCCAATTTTGGGAGGAAAGTGGGATATATATGTGACAATGACAACGACGACGATGATGTGATCCCAGAGTTTCAATTTCTAGAAATCTCTAGTCCCCCCCCCTTCACTACACTATATTTTATTTTATTTTATGATTTGATTATTGATTTATATCCCACTTTTCCTCCCAGGTGGGACTCAAAGCAGCTTACAAAAGAGAGCAGCTAGAAGAATACATTGCCCAAAAGTTTACAAAGCATACTTCTTTATTCCAAACAAATCTCTTGAGAACCTGACATTTGGGTTTGTTTAGATTAGGGCTGGATAGTATGCAAACTGGGATCTATTGATAGGTCAGGGTGATTTGCAGTTGACCGCCAATGGTTTCTAACCACCTTACTGTTTAATGATGGAACAAACTAAATACATTAGGAAAGAATGAGGAAAACCCCAAGGTAAGTAGCTGTTATTAAAATATTTCCTTGCTATCTTTCTGCAGACAGATGAAAACCTTCTTGTTTAAGCAAGACTTTTG